GAGGGTCAGTGCTGAGGGAGCGCCACACTGTCGGAGGGTCAGTGCTGAGGGAGTGGGCACTGTCGGAGGGTCAGTGCCGAGGGAGAGAAGGGGAGTTGTACTGGAATTGAACCCACCCTGTTGGCATCACTCTGTGTTGCAAAGCAGCAGCCACCCACTCCCAACCTCCCCCCCCCCCTGCGCGCCCCCCCCCCCCATCCCCCCCCCCCGCTGTGACCCGCAACACTGGCTCCTTGCAGTAAAACCGTCCTGAATATGTTGAATGCTGTGATGGGCACGCTGTCTCACATCTTTCTCAATTGCCAGGCTCCTCTGTCCTGCCCAGCCCCAAATGTTGAAGAAATGCACAACCAGGATGTTTGTTGTTTGCTTTTGGAGGGTGTGTGTAAAGTAAACACCCTCCAATTGGTGCGGTAGAGGTAAATGTCGGGGGTGGGGTATCCTCTCAGAAGCTGCCTCTCCAGCCATTGTCCATCTCCATGTGCATTACCCATTTCAAACAATCACTGCATGGAAACAGTGTCCCCTGCAGGTGAAGGGGATGCTGCAGGAAACAGAGGCAGCTCCTCGCTCCCTCTTCAGTCTCTATGGGGTCAGGTTTAGTTCAATCCTTATTTACTCTTTGCTGGGTCAATGAGTTTCTTTTATTCTGCAGACAAAGCTTGGCATTTACGTTGAGGAACGGTTTATTGAGGCAGCACCGAAGGTGTGCATAGAGAAGTTCCAGCAAGATCTGCTGCAAATCACAGACGAGATCAGGAAGAGAAATGAGGGTCTTGAGCTGAAGTATGACTATCTGCAACCCAACCTCATTGAAAACAGTGTTGCAATATAACATCTCTGGGCTCCATTTCCAATTCCTGCCTCCTGTGGATTAGAACGTTGTGCTTCAAAATTATTCCAAAACGCTGATGCATTGCTACTTACTTTTCAATTGAACAAAGGAAGATAACTTTCCCAAAACTCCTCTTTGTTATCGATTCTTTATATTTTGTCTTTCTGTTTCCCTGGTGAGCTTGACATTTTCTGCATCAATTTGCTTAGATACATGGACCTTTGGAGCAGGTGGCAGTTGAACCCAGGCCTCCTGGCTCAGAGGTACGGTGTTACCACTGCGCCAATGGATGTGTTCCTCCTGGGGAGTTGGGCGTTGTGTCAGAATCTGATGTGTGTTCAGCCAGACTACAGGGCTGCTTTTTCCTCGCTAGAGAGACGACTGGGGGTGGTTTAATCTGAGGGTCACCACACCTCAGGCCAGGGGGGAGATTGGGAAGGAGAGCCCTTCATGGTAACCTCAGCCAGTTATTGAACGCATGCTGTTGGCATCATTGTGCATTGTGGAGCTAGCTGTTCATCCAATTGAGCTAACTGACCACCCCCACTTCATGAAAACAGGCTTTGGGAGACTCGGCTTATCCCCAAACAAGTGTAGGTCCAAAGCACAAACCAGCAGTTATAAGCATGTCTGATCTATCTGATGTGACAGTATTTCACGATGCGTGCAGTATTGTAACCACAGCCTAAACAAAATCTTACACAAATCCCACATAGCACCCTTTCATAGAATCCCTACAGTGTGGAAATAAGCCCTTCGGCCCAACAAGTCCACACTGAACCTCAGAGCATCCCACCTGGACCCATCCCTCTAGCCTACACGACAATTTAGCACAGCCAACCCACCCTAACCTGCACATCCCTGGGCACTATGGGACAATTTAGCACAGCCAACCCACCCTAACCTGCACATCCCTGGGCACTGTGGGACAATTTAGCACAGCCAACCCACCCTAACCTGCACATCCCTGGGCACTGTGGGACAATTTAGCACGGCCAATCCACCCTAACCTGCACATCTTTGGACTGTGGGAGGAAACCCACACAGACACGGGGAGAACGTGCAAACTCCACACAGACAGTCGCCCGAGGGTGGGATCGAACCTGGGTCCCTGGCGCTGCAAGGCGGCAGTGCTAACCACTGAGCCACAGTGTTTCTTTTATATTTGATGTTATTATTAAGGGCACACTGCCCAGTTTACTCGTTCATCATCTTTCCTATCCCACTCCTACCAAGGTGGACTGCCACATAAAACATTACAGCACAGGAGCAGGCCCTTCGGCCCACAACGTATGTGTTGACCATGATGCCAATCTAAACTAATGCCTTTTGGCTGCACAAGGTCCATTTCCACAATTCCTGCCTGCTCACGCGTATGTCCAAAATGCCTCTTAAATGTTACTGTCATCGCTGTTTCCTCCTGGCAGCATGTTCAAGGCACCTACCACCCTCTGTGTAAAAAAAACTTATCTCACATATCTCCCTTAAACATTCCCCCTCTCACCTTAAACCTCTGCCCCTAGTATAAGACATTTCCATCCTGGGAAAAAGACTCCAATTATCCACCCTATCCACGCCTCTGCTAATTTTATGTACCTCTATCATGTCACCCCCTCAGTCTCCAACATTCTAGTGAAAACAATTCAAGTTTGTCCAACCTCTCTGTATGGCTAATACACTCCAATCCAGGAAACAGCCTGGTAAACCTCTTCTGCACCCTCTCCAAAACCTCCACATCCTTCCTATAGTGTGGCAACCAGAACTGCACACAATATTTTAAATGTGGCCGAACTAAAGTTTTGTACAGCTGTAACATGACTTGCCAATTTTTACACTCAATGTCTTGACCAATGCTTTCAGTTATTAAGAAATAGGCTCCAGTTAAAGATTATTCAGATAATCATAGAAGTAGTTTTCAACATACAACCAGAATACAATACAAGCAGTAAAATAGCATTTAAACCCAGATGTGGAAGTTACTTAGCCTTAGGAAACATCTTATCTTATGCCGCAAGCAAGATAGATCGTTCACAACCCATTAATTACAATGTGCCAAGAGTAGAAGTAGCTGTACAACTTTACATTTTATAACCAACTTTATAATAGAAATTAACCTTACAGCAATTAGTTAAAACTAACCGTCTTTTGTATTTTTACATGTATAATTAGGACAGTGGGAAATTTGAAAGGAATGACTGAACTTGATAAAGAAAGCACATGTAATACTATTAAAAATAGAATTCAAGCTGTCCTTAGAGATAAACAGACCCGAAGGAGGAAAGCTTGTAAAGTTTTGGAATGCGAATGAATAGAAAGATCCCAAGGCCCAGAGGTTACAATTGCTTGTAAACACCATAAGATCATGGGAACCTGGGACTGCCCGTAGGTGTCCCACGGGATTGGGTGTTTGGATTAAGGGGAAAGACCTGACTACACTGTATTTGATTATTGTAACACAAAGTATATAAAAATGCTGTACTCCTTTGTAAAATCAGTGTGTCATTGATCTCCCTTTTGATTCGGGGAAGATCCTTTGGCCCTCTCCCTGCATCAACTGGTTTTTGCTTGAATAAACATTTTCCATTGGCCTGAATCTTGCCTGCCTCCTGAGTTTTTGCCCCCAGTCAGGGAATATGCTGCTACACACTCTCTCACATTCACTCTCACATGCACACTCACACTCGCATGCACATTCATTCACATGCGCACTCACACTTGCACACTCATTCATTCACACTGACTCACCTGCCTGAGGATCTTTGGTGAATTTCTGCAGATGGTACACACTGCTGCTACTCAGCATCGGTGGGGGCAGGGAGTGGGATGTTTGTGGATGTGGTGCCAATCAAGCGGGGGCTGCTTTATCCTGGATGGTGTCGAGCTTCTGGAGTGTTGTTGGAGCTGCCCCCATCCAGGGCAAGTGGGGAGTATTCCATCACCCTCCTGCCTTGTGCCTTGTAGATGGTGGGACAGGCTTTGGGGGAGTCAGGAGGGGAGTTACTTGCTGCAGGATTCCCAGACTCTGACCTGTTCTTGTAGCCGCTGTGTTTATGTGGTAAGTCCAGTTGAGTTTCTGGTCAATGATAACCCCCAGGATGTTGATAGCGGGGGATTCAGTGATGGTAACACCATTGAATGTCAATGGGCGGTGGTTAGATTGTCTCTTGTTGGAGATGGTCATATTAGTGAGTGTCTTATATTGATAACTCCAAGTTCTGCTCTCACCCACAAGTGGAGACATGTCTAACCTATCGAACCCTTTCATTCTGTTAAAGATCTCTACAGGTCACTTTTGAGGCTTCCAAGCTGATTATTAGAGCCTCTGAATAAAAACCGAAAGAACTGCAGATGCTGGAAATCAGAAACAAAAACAGAAGTTGCTGGAAAAACTCAACAAGTCTGGCAGCATCTGCACAGAGAATTCAGAATTAATGTTTCAGGATGAGTGACCCTTCCTCAGAACATCCATTTCTGGTCTCGAGACTCCCTCTGGTGTGGGAACAGGATACTGCAGCCTTCAATAATTGATACCAACAACAAACAGCCCACAATCTGTGTAGGATCTCACCAAGAAATTGGCTACGTTCAAAGTTGATGCTTTAATCCTGCCTGAGGATGAGGTTTTAGGTTCTGTCTTGGTCTCTTTATTTGTTTGCCTGTCAGTCTTCATCTGGCTGTCTGCCTCTGTCTGTGTCTGACTGCCTGTCTCTGTGTGCCTGTCTCTGCCTGTCTGTCTGTTTGTCTACTTGTCTCTGTCTGTTTCTGTCTGCCTCTATATGACTGTCTCACTCTGCCTGCCTGCCCCTGTCTGTCTATTTTCATCTGCCTGTGTCTGTCTGCCTGTCTCTGTCTATCTTTGTCTGTCTGTCTCTGCCTGTCTCTATCTTGGTCTGCCTGTCTTTGCCTGTCTGGCTGCCTGTCTCTATCTTGGTCTGCCTGTCAAAGTGTTGGCTGAGTTGGCAGTACTGAGTGGTCACTGGGAACCACAAGATGATGCTGCAGCAGTCACACAGAATCCTGTACGACCTTTAAACAGAGAATGGCAATTCCTCGAGACTTTAACAGACCTGCCTCAGGGTGATGGGGGTCACAACCTGCCAGCTGATGAGACAATAATGCTGGCAGCTCAGTGCCTAAAGCCCCCATCAGGAGTGGAAGGGCGTCCCTTGGTAATCTGATTTTGACCAACCTCAACCAAGTCCCCTTCTGAAAGTGTGCAGATCACAAATCTGCATGGAAAGCAGAAACATTACAATAAGCCACCGAAAGCAACATTTCTTTCTCAGCAAAAGGCATGGACGCAAAGAAAATATTGGGGTTTTCCTGGGGTCAGGAAAACGTACAGGAGCTGATACAAACACACAATCATGCACACACACACACACACACACACACACACAGACACACACACACTCACAGACACACACACACGCTCACAAGTGTCAGGGTCAGTGCTGAGAGAGCGGGCACTGTCAGAGGGTCAGTGCTGAGGGAGCGCCGCACTGTCGGAGGGTCAGTGCTGAGGGAGCGGGCACTGTCGGAGGGTCAGTGCTGAGGGAGCGCCGCAATGTCGGAGGGTTAGTGCTGAGGGAGCGCCATACTGTCGGAGGGTCAGTGCTGAGGAAGTGCCCCACTGTCGGAGGATCAGTGCTGAAGGAGGACCACGCTGTCGGAGGGTCAGTGCTGAGGGAGCGCTGCATTGTCAGAGGGTCAGTGCTGAGGGAGCGCCACACTGTCGGAGGGTCAGTGCTGAGGGAGCGCCGTGCTGTTGGAGGGTCAGTGTTGAGGGAGTGGTCACTGTCGGAGGGTCAGCGCTGAGGGAGTGGGCACAGTCGGACGGTCAGTACTGAGGGAGCGCTGCACTGTCGGAGTGTCTGTACTGAAGGAGCGCATTGCATGAAAAATAGATTATTTTCGGCGATTATCATTTAGCCAAGTTTGGAATCTTGGAGTCACATAGCACGGAAGTGGACTCCTCAGTCCAACCAGTCCATGCTGAACACAATCCCAAACTAAACTCGCCCCACCACCTGAACTTGGCCCATATTCCTCTAAACCTTTACTATTCGTGTATTTAGCCAAATGTCTTTTAAACAGTGTAATTGTACCCACATCCACCACTTCCTCTGGAAGCTCATTCCACACAAGAACCACTCTCTGTGGAAAATATTTGCCCCTCACGTCTTCTTCAAATCTCTCTCCTCTCACTTCAAAAATGTACCCCCGAGTCTTGAAATCCCCCATCCCAAGGAAAAGACACCTATCATTAACCTTATCTATACCCTCATTATTTTATAAACTTCTGTAAGGTCGCCTCTCAACCTCCTACGCTCCAGTGAAGAAAGTCCCAGCCTATCCAGCTTTTCTTTATAACTCAAACCTTCCATACCCGGCAACATCCTGGTAAATCTCTTTTGAACTATCTCCAGTTTAACAATACTCTTCCTACAACTGGGTGACCAGAACTGGGCACAGTGCTCCAGAAGAGGCCTTACCAATGTCCTGTACATCCTCAATATCACTTCCCAACTCCTATACTCAAAGGACTGAGCAATGAAGGCAAGCGTGCCAAACACCTTTATAACCACCCTGTCTAAATGTGATGCAAACTTCAAAGAATTACACACATGAACACCTAGGTCTCTATGTTCTACAACACTACCCAAGGTGCTACCATTAATTATAGAAGCCCTATCCTTGTTTATTATATCAAAATGCAATACCTCACATTTTTCCAGATTGAATTCCATCTGCCATTTTGCAGCTCGTTGTCCCATTTGATCACAATCCCTTTGTAGCCTGAGAAAAACCTTCTTGACTGTACTATGCCACCAGTTTTGGTGTTGTCCATTTCTTGTCCATTGATGAGCAGTTACATTTGAAACTGCAGTGACAATGTACGAAAAGATAATTTACTGATTAAACAGGGCTTACAGCATGCCAATACACAGGACAGCTGTCTGCAGGCAGACCTTGTGAAACATGGCCCAGTGTTGACTGTTAACTTTACAATACACAAGTAAAGGGCCTTGGAACAACTTGTCACGTTCAAGGTGCTGTATAAAGAAAGTGGTAGTGTCCCTACCTCTGAGCCATGAGGCCAGGGTTCAAGTCACACCTGTTCCAGACGTTTGTCCTAATATCACTGAACGGATTGATTAGAAATGTCTAAAGTTGTGCAAAAAATGGAAACAATTGCAGATGCTGTAACTCAGGAACAAAGACAGAAGTTGCTGGAAAAGCTCAGCAGGTCTGGCAGCATCGGTGAGGAGAGAATCAGAGTAAACATTTCGGGTCCGGTGACCCTTCCTCAGAATGTTGAGGTTGTTGTGGTATTACCAGGGTTGGTGAGGGGGGACCAAATACACAATCAGTTTGAACTGCAGATCCTTGTGGCACAGGCAGAGGGCAGCATCTGATTATCACTGTAGCATTCGACAGAAACAGGAAAGCAAGGCCAGACCTAAACACACTGTCACCAAGAGAATTGGGCCCCACACACTGACTCTCACTGGGGTACGGTCCCACACACACACTGACTCTCACTGGGGTACGGTCCC